AGAATTCCTGGCTGGGGAATTCTGGGAATTGAAGTCCACTCATCTTAAAGTGGCCAAGTTTGGACAACACTGCTCTATCTGATTGCATTTGTGATAGTAATACAATTACAAACAGAATTCAGGAGCAATATCTCAAAGGCTTACAGTTGGTGGGACTGGGGTGGGGTGGAAAATGAGCATCCAAAGTGCAGCAGATAAGAGAGAAAACAGGCCTGGGATGAGCCTCTCACCTGCTATGGGCTTTCAAAGTCCATTGAGTGAATATTTCTTGCCACCGAATTCTTTCTATTCTCATGAAAAAAGGTGCATGCTGATATCATTCCTTTTATTTGAAATATAGATTGTCCTTTCAGAATTGAAGCCTTTAATATTTACTTTCCTGAACTTTACCCTGAGAGTCAAAAATGATAGGTAGAAAAACATAAATAGCTAAATTTTTCCCCCCAACAGGACACTACTACGTCAGTTCGGATAGGCCTTATGATGGAAGAAATGATCTTCAATCTTGCAGATACACATCTGTTCTTTAATGACCTGGAGGTAGGTACTGATTTTGTTTCATTTTATTGGGACTGGGAATTATGAAAACTGGAGGGCACCAGATTGGAGGTGGTGGCTCTGAGCAATCATCATTTGCTACTTTTCCTCTTCTTTTTCTTCCTTTTATCAAGCAAGACATAAACATTTCTGAACAAGGTTTAACCTAGTCAGGGCCTGAGGCTCCCCCATCAAGGACTACTTTGAAGCTTGCTGACGATTCTTGATTCATGTTCCATGCATCAAAGTGAGGAAGAGAAAACTAAAGCAGATATGCATACAGCATTTGCTCCAGTAATCTTCCCGTTCCATAATTCAAGTATGGAAAGTCACTAAGCCAGTTAATCAAATGGAGTTAGGCATTAAGAACTACAGTGAATGTGGCTGCTTCTTATTTGGACAACTTGTTTCTTTTTTGTTTCGTTAGCTGTTATATTAACAAGTTTACTGCTTCAAATCTGGGCATTTGGTGATTCTAAATAAGAAATCTTGGACCATCAAAACCATCTAAGGAATAACAGATCTGTGGAGTCCTTGGTGCTCTCTGAGCTTGGTTGTTTGCTTGCAGACATTCATTACCCAACTAGATAACATCATCAGTTTTAGTTGGGTAATGAAACGTCTACAAGCAAACAACCAAGCTCAGAGAGCACCAAGGACCACAGTTCAACCCTGAGCTACAGATATTCTCTTCTACTGCAATAATATATCTACTATGAATACCCTGCCCTCCATGCAAGTAGATTAATGCATATCCCAATGAAAGGAGGGAGGGCAAAGCATGAGAACAGCCCTGGTAGATTAGAAGATTAGATTATCTATTTCAGCATCCTTTTTCTCACACTGGCCGAAATATATTTTGGGGAGGCCCACAAGGAGGACATCAAGGCACTAACCCTCTCCTGTTCTTGCTGCCAGCACATAGCAATCATACAGCCATTGAACCTGGAGATCACAGACATTAATAGATTTCATGAATCTAGTTCATGCCCCCTTTGCCTGAATCATGAACACCCTTCCCCCTGACATCCAGCAGGTCCCTACCCTCCTAGTCTTCCAGAAAACCTTTAAAAGCTGGCTCTTTCCACAAGTCTTGGGGTAGAGTGAGGCTGGAGCCTAATGAAGTTGTTTGTGGATGTGTGGGGGAGTGTTGTTTGGGAGGGGAGCCAGGAACGTTTGTGCTAGTTCTATGTTTTTTGCTGTTTGTAAGCCTCCCAGGGTTATGATGTATAAGACAGGCAGCTGTGTAAGTCAGAGAGAGAATTTCACAAATTCATTATATATCTAAAATTTATATTACTCAATTCCCCGGCTAAATCATTTTATTACATACCCCTATTATTTTTATTTGTATATTATTATTTTATTTAGTTATATTTATTATTTATGTTATAAATAATATTTATATTATTCTAATAAAGTATTTGTTACGTATTATAAATACATTCTATATTATTTTATTATAGCCCTGGAGGGGGGAGTTTACAATCTCATTGGTAGAGCTATTTTTCAAAGGGTAAAAGATAATTATAAAAGATAATTGTGACAAAAATACAGGCTAGTTTGTCACTGATCAGGCAGAATCCTCTGCAATGCCCTTGACTATCCAGCAGGGGGAGCTCTTAGTTGTTCTCCTTCCAGCCCTGCTTTGAAGGTGCTTTTGATCTCCTCACCCAGATCCCAGAAATCCAGAGCTTAATAAACCTTGTGCCTATCCTATGTACCTATGTAACAACAATCTTGCGTGTGAGGAAATTTTTAATAGGAAATTCCCTTCTAAAATCAATAAAAACAAAAACTTAGACTTTAAAAAAAAATTATTGGGAAAAGGAAAATACAGGAAAAGCAAGGGAAGGCCACAATCCCACACACAGAATTTGAAATAAAATCAGTACCATCAGCCTGTTCTTTAGAGGTAGGGTGGCTGGAGAGAGATTATTTGGACCTCCTGTTTGGATGTTTATAGGTGTTCTTGCACTTTTCCTCTCCTCAGTTTTATAGAATGTGGGAATGTTTATCTTAAATAAAGAAAAGCTGAAACTTACCTATTTAGGCCTCTTAGTTAGGGGTCAGTTTATCCCGATGCTTTGGGGGCACTGTTGTGCCATGCTCAAACAAGTTTTGTCACCCTCTCAAGTTCTAACATTGTTAAAGAGAGAGAGAAAAAAAATTCTCTCTCCCCTCCGCCTAAATGCATTTCCACATAATAGGAAATTTAGAATCATGACCTGTGGTATAGTCCAAGACTGCAAACTTTCTATAAATTATACAAACTGCATACCTTAGGTAAACTTTAGTTGATCTGGTCATTTAGCAGACAACAGCTCTGTTCATTCGTATTACAGGATGTTTGATTCCTGGCAACTCCACTCCCATTAGTTAAAGTGTTAACAGTCGTACACATGAGAATGTATGATGAGAAGTCATGGAAATTTGGGGTGGAGATTTTAGCAGATAAAACTTCCATGTAATAATGGTACTTGCTCAAAATCTTTTACTTTGCCCAAGTGTTTCCATTTTAATTGGCTTTATTATTTTATTTATTTACAAGATTACTATGCCACCTCAATCCTAGACTGTAAGTTGCTTACAATACAATAAAACAGTACAACAGCAAAATAGAAATCAGAAACATCATCTAATAATAAAAACATAAAATCAATCTTCAGATAACATATAAACAGAGCACAGAATGTAAAACTTAATCCCTAAAGGCTGTGCAGAAGAACAAGGACTCCTGAGTATTGTGAAGCCAGCCATCCGCTCTTATCTCCTGGATAGTGGGAACTTGCTGAATTCCCTCTCAATCTGTCTCTGTTGGGCAGCAGTTCTACTCAGGATAGATGGTTCTGGAGATACCCAAGCGCTAAGTCTTATCTATCTATCTATCTATCTATCCATCCATCCATCCATCCATCCATCCATCCATCCATCCATCCATCCAATTACTGTATAAGGCCATGCATTTCAACAAGTGACTCTGGGCGGCAAACAGATTTAAAATAAAAACAATTACAAACATTACTAAAGTTATAATACAAAGCAGCTGAGAAGCATCAAACCCAAATTACTAATACAACCAAGAAGTGGGTCCCTGAACGCACTCAGGGCCTCAGGCCTGGGCACCGAACCAGGTCTTTAGGGTCCTATAAAAGTTCAGGAGGGTCAGGGCCACCCTGATCCTCAAAGGGAGAATGTTCCACGAGGTGGGCGCTACAGCAGAAAAGGCACATCTTCTAGGCCCCACCATATAGGGGTTTACTGTTAATAACCACCCAGAAGCAAACTGATAATCAATGCCGCTCCCACAACAGAGGAGAGAGAAAGATTCAGTGACCCCTCAGCACGTAGGCTGCCCATTCTTCGAGGTCAGCCACCTTAGAGCAAGTTACACTAAATGCAAGGTGACAAAGACACAAGTGACTATTGCTAGCACACATGCAGTAGGCACACCAGTTGGTTAAGCAAAGGCTTGCATGTGTTCCTATATTAGGAGTCATAGATCAAGGAGAGCCCCCAGAGTGGAGACCTCCTCCTTCAGGAGAAGTACGCCCTCATCCAGAGCCAGTGATGAAGCTATTGTGAAATCAGATTGTTTCTGGATTAGCAACCACTCCATCTTGCTGGGTTTGAGTTTAAGCCTGTTATTTTCCATCCAGTCCCTCACAGCCACCAGACACCAAATGAGGGCTTCCATCAGATCTCCTACTTGGCCAGGGGTGGAGATAAAAGGTTGGGTATTATCAGCATATGTAATTTTAAATGTACTCTTTTTCTTTCTTTTTTACCATCCTGGTATCCACAGATCTGAAAGACAGTTTTAAAATATTTTAGACATTTAGACAATGTTTTACTAAGTTAAATAATAAGATAATGTTTAATATTGTTGTTGTTTAGTCGTTAAGTCGTGTCCGACTCTTCGTGACCCCATGAACCATATTGCGCCAGGCCTTCCTGTCCTTCACTGCCTCC